ACGTAAATTTCTGGTGACCCTGTCAGTCCATATCCCTTCCTCCGCAGGGTGACAATGCTATTTTGCCTGCAATGAATTTGCTGTAGTGTTGTCACACTGTTCTGCAGAATCTTCACATACATTGAGGTCAAAAAATAAATAAATAAGAGTTGCCAATGGTAATAACTCTTCCTGCCAGTCAGAACAGGATGTGCATCTGCCAGGGCTAGGAAAAAGGATCCAAGGGGGCCCCTGAATCTAAAGGAAAGGACACATGGTGCCTTCTGGACCCTTCTCCTGTGGAGTGAAGACCTCAGTGGCCCCTGTGATGACAGAAAGGCAAAGAAAAGGATATCAGCACTCCGAAAAGAAAGTAATAAGAAAAGAAAAAAATACAGCTACAGGAAGAAGGGGACTGACAAGCAAAAATAAATGTACAGAGTGAGACGTCAAGATTAAACAAAGAAGCATCTTACAAATGTGAGAACATGTACTATACACAGGGCAAAAAAAAAAGATCACATGACAGTATGTCCTTGTGCAGAAGATGAAGAAAAATACTAAATTACAGTGATGAAGATAAGATTGTCCATGAACAAACTACATAGAAGAAATTAATCAAATACATGCAAGAAGGGAAGGAAATCCCTATATGGTCAGCCTATGCAAAAGGCTTGTCTAGCCGTGATATGCTAGGTAAGCGCGTAAGGGAAAACTGGCCTTTACATACACTCTTTTAGTTGTGTTTTTACATTTATTTTTATATAATGGATAATGCAGAAGTAGAAGTGAGAATGTCAGGTAGAAAAGCATAGCAGGTAAATCATGCTAATCAGTCCTTGTTCATTAAAACAAAAAATTTGGTGATTCAGTCCACTATCATCTACCCATACCGGAATAAAGAGTTTTGGGTAGACTAACTCTCTAAAGACTTTTGTAGCAGACAGACATATAAAAGACCATCTGAGCCCAACGTACCTTGTGCTGCACTTACTGAAATTGCAGTGTGCTCAAATCATGCAAGATATTTTTCTACTGAGATGCTTCTAAGATGCCCATACACCTTGCGATGATAGTACGATAACCGCGGGAAATCCCGTGATCGTACGATAATCTCAAGGTGTATGGAAGGTGTGCGACCGTTTCTACTGTATGGCCGCACGTCTTTTGTCGAAGGAGCATGCTAGAAAACCCGCCGAGAATCGTGCGATTGTCGGCGGGTTAGTGGCGCGCTCGTTCGACAATTGCGGAACGGGCCGGTGTGCGCCATTGTGGTCATCGGAAGCCCGCCCCTCAGCGGGGCAGGCTTTCGATGATCGCAAGTACGGTCTGTCCAAGATGGGCAGATCTTACGATCTTTTAATTAGCTTACAACCATCGCAAGACAAACGTCTTGCGATGGTTGTAAGGTGTATGGGCACCTTTACACTGCACTCAGAACAAAGCTCAAAAGGTCAGGAGCACACAGAACGACTGCTGCTCAAAGGGTTCACCAAAGCCTTCAACCAGTGAAGGGGGGGTCTGACAGTACTGAGCGCAGCCTGATGCAAGTGGCAATCCTGCAGCTTCTTAAGCAGCCTGATCACATCAGTACTACTACTAAAATTCACTTGTCTCTTCACAGATAGAGACAAGATGTTAGATTCAGGCAGCATCCTTCATCTTCTAATTTATAAAAAAAAAACCCACAACAAATATATACAAAATAAATATATAAAAACGGAAAGTTTGGCATTTAAAAAGCAAAGCATAGTCAAGTTCAGCTCTTCCCGAAGTCTTTAGAAACTCCACTGATCTCCATATTCCTATTAGGTCTCCATTTGGCATGATACTGGGAAAGACATTGGTTTGTATTGTGAACAATAAATAATGTGGCAGCTGAGCTTCTCAGTATTTAAATAAGGCAGATAGCTCAAAGTTTGAGGAATATATTGTCCTGATTCCGCTTCTGCGCAGCGTCATTCAGAGGAAAGACGGTGGAGATGGAAAGATCTACGATGCCCTGGCAAAGTTCCGCATACAATTTTCTTGGGAAAAAAAAAAAAGTATTAAAATGTATCCTTTATACTTTCAATAATATATCCCAAAACACTTACTGTACAAGAAATATTTGAAATAATTGTTTTTAATTCTAAAATGCTATCAAGTACAAATCATAGGGACACTAATCTTCAATACGCTATCATATTCTCAAACAGCAGGAAGCCTGCTATGTAGCTTCAGCATTAGAAGAGCTAAAAATAGCTATTAAAAAGCACGGACAAAAAAGCTTCTTAGACACCTTCTTTAGAGAACTATCAAAAGCATTACAAAACATGTTTATCAATATGCTTTCTTCTATGAATAAGTACCTCAGACATTAAAAAGGATAATAAAACCCAAAATTAAATGTTTTTATTTGCCAGAAATACAGTGTCCATGTCACTTCCTGTGAGCTGAACTAAAAGGGAAAATGTTACCTTTTTTTGTACACTACTAATCCCCTGGCCCCAATTAAAGAGTGAGAGTTGCCACCCTAGGACACCAAGTATGTTATTTGTATTGGATTAAAATAAAAAGGAAGAAATGCCTGAAAAAAATGAAGAAAACTAATGCAACCACCACATCTAAGGACTGGTGAGCTTCAATATATTAAAGTGTACCTTTATGCAAAAACTGGGAAAGGGTTAGACTGGGAAAGGGTTAGACCTCCAGTCAGGTTTGCATTGGTGTCTGTGTCCCCATTGGGGTAATTCACTTCTCCATTTGGACTGGTGACCACTGTCACTAAGAAAAAAAAAGTGAGGGGAAATCCCAAAATTTAAAGAGGTCCTAAAAACAAGGGTTGAGTGGGGACATCTGTTCCATGGACAACTGCCTTCACGCAAACACACGTTGGGTGCGCCTACGTACAAAAACACTACACATGTTATGTATCGCTGTGCACGCCAGTGTGAGAGCAATAATTCTAGTGCCAATATTCATGCGTATTTCTAAACTGATGACCTGTAGGAGCTTTTAAAGCGTCATCTATGTACTTTTTGGGGTACTGAATTTTGTTGCTGTTTCACAGATGCACGCAATTTTGAACCTGGACATGTTGGGTATCTATTTACTCATTGTAACCTCATCTTTTATATTTTACAAAACGGATCTTTCATTGTGTTTTGGAGCGCTAAAATTAACGCAAGTGCATTTTTCACTAAATGTTTGGGTTTGATAAACAGTTGCGCCAATATTGTGCAACATACAAATTTGCAACTGCCACCATTTTATTCTACAGGGTCTTGGCTTTCAGAAAATATTTGTTTTGGGGGTTTGAAGTAATTTTCAGGCCTAAAATGTGGATTATATCTTGTGTGCAAAAGACGAAAAAAAAACCCAAAAAAACCTTGGCTTCGAAAGGGTTAAAATTTTCCTACCATGTTAAAAGCGCAAGTTCAGTTAACGCTACATTCACACCTACACTTCAGGACTTACAAGTTCCTGAGGCAGGAGTCCCTAAACACACCTAAAGTGTAGGTGTGAATATAGCCTAATGATTTCAGGGGTTCATTATTACAGATGCCCTCAAACTGTGTAGCTCACAGGAACTATAAGTCTCTTCTCAGGAGCAGTTCAAACGTCACACCAGTCCCACCCTTTAACCTGCAGATAACCAGGTTGATCAAAAAAGGTGGAGATAGCAGGCAATAAAATGCATTTGTTATTACAAGATACAGAAACAAGCTTTTTAAAATAATATTTTCTGAGCCACCGACCCACAAGTTGAAAAGAAAAACAATAAGCGAATGTCTTACTGTGCACAGGCTGGGGCACCATTGATTTCAATCAACCAGACTTTCAGTTCTTCATCGACCATGAAGTCAAAACCAAACAGCTGAAAACTTTGGTAGGGCAGATGCTTAGTGCAGATTGCAGGTTCTATACATGTCAGGCAGGCTCTGATTAAAGAAAAAAATGTTAAAGAAATGTTAAATATTTTGTATGTTGTCATGAAGCAGGACCTCTTATTCCACAAACCAGGGCACCCCTAGCCACCCCAATGCATAATTTAGTCTTTACAAGGCCAGACTGCACAACTTTATTGACATTTGGCGGTTGACACAAATACCTCATTCCTTTTTATTCAAAAACCCATTAAAAAGTAGATCCAAACAAAATCACTAAAATATAATTTAAGCTGTAATATGTCAATTTATTTCAAAAGTTGTTCCTCAATATTTTCAGTTAGAAGGTTTCACTTAATATAAATCATAGTGATCGTGCCATGAAGTACTTTGTTCAGGCATTTCCTGTTATGGGATGACAACCGTTGTGTTCTTGTGCTTTCACAATGGCATAAGTACCACTGGAGAAGACTACAAGTGGTCATGCTAAAACACATTGAAGCGGCATGTTACACCATTGTCAATCTCCGTAAACTGGTCCAAGCCATTGATGGACCAGGAGTAAATACATTTAGACAGGAAGCAGATGAAAGAGGCAATCAGCAGCAAAGAGATGAGATGATGATGGATGATGATGATGATGAGGATGATACACAGTGTCATCAATTTACTGCTTTTTAGACATTTATATATGTGATATACCACAGCAATAAACTAAATATTTATTGCCGATATACATTTGTTATTCCCACGTGACGATGTAATTGATTGCTAAATACAAATAGTGTTTATGTACTCTGTACCTTATAATTTCTTTTATCTGCCAGAGGATACTGTTTTCTAGGTTGATGTTCAGACTATTCTCCAGGTACTGATTAAACTCATCAAAGAACATTTCATTGCCATCTTCATAGCGCCCATAGTTTTTGGAATGCTCTTTCTGAATGCAGTGATTGGTCAGGTGGCTGGTCATGTCCTGAAAGTCAGAATCATTGTATGGTTCTGAGGATGTCCTTAATACACCCTCTCGATACAGGTAGATGTTGTACTGGCTGTCTACAAGGACCCAGCTTCTACAAGACACAAAAAAAAAACAAAGAACATTATGATACCAGTTTTAATGTGTAACCAAATGTTTGTACAATACAGTTTTGCCTGTTTTATTTACTACATCCATTCTGTTTACATACAAAAAGCGATCTCAAGACCGACCGGACCAAAGAAAAAAAAACAAACGTGAGGAAGAGCTTCTGGAAGGTAAGAAAAACAAAACAACAACTGAGGGACGATTGTGTTTCCTGTAGAAGGAGGAGCCAATCATCTCTCAGGTTGCTGGCCTGGAAGATGATTGGAGAAAGTAAGCTGATCTAGTAATTGCAAAGTGCATTCAAGCTTGAAAATTAATCATCATTTGGAACATTCATTCTTTTTCCTGGAAAAGGTTTTTCAAGGTACCCATAGACGTTAGATTGGCATAATTTAATATAAACCTCTAGTGCAAGCAACCGCATAAGGAGTCTATGGAGTGCAAGAAACTAAGAGGAGCAAAATGGCAATCAAGACATTCTATGGCAAGCTATTGACAGATAGACAATTCATTGACAGCAAGTGGCACAGACAGACAACTCCACCACTGGTTTATCTTGGCAGAGAAAAAAGCAAATCAGTTATCTCAAGAGAAAAAAAAAAATTATGTTTAAACAAGATCTTCTAAGGTTAGCCATAGACAGGCAGACAACTCCATGAAAGCAAGCTGGAAAATGTATGTGTGGGATAATATTCACTGCTTGTTAATGCCTCCTAAGGGGAACTGTAAAAAGGGCAATACTCCCCAGAGTGTTGTATGGCCTGGTGGATCAGCATGAGAGTGGGCTCTTCATGATCAACCCAAACTGTTAACTTACTATTTCTGCCAGTGATCTCTTGGCCTGCTGTGTATGCAGGTGCCCACAGACCCGGGATCATCTCCTGATCGCAACTGGTTTGGGTGACAATAAACCTGGGACTATAGCTATCTAGAAGGAGTCCCCAGAAGATAATTTATATACATGTAACAGTACAATAGCCATCTTTTTGTAAAGAAATGTCACTGGCTTTACCAGCATAACAGCATATCGGACAACACTTCCCAACCCACGAGTGAGATTTTTGACTCCCAGTTCTATTGTTTTTGGGTTTTTTAAAATCTGTTCACCAGAGTTCCCCTTTGTCTGTCTATGAGCCAAATCCAAATATAACAAATGGGTCAAATCAACTATACTAGGAGGGACCATCACACAGGGTGTCAATACATAATTAAAATGGTGAACAGCAGGAGAGCAGTCAAACAGGAGGAAACACCAAGGCTGCATATTGTGCACTACCAGTGTATATGCCTCTCTAGAATCATACTTTACATATTACAGTGCATGGCTAAATTAGATGATCATAAATATGAAAGCATATGAACTTTACTATTTATACTACATATTTGATAAAATGTATGGTATAAAAGGCAACATTATTTCTAAATAACATTTATAGGAAACACAGTACTTTCCACGATGTACAGCTCTGCAGCTAGATATATCATGACGTATTCTGCTCTAACTCTTTAAATATTTATTGAAAATTGTAGTTAAGTCTTGTGTACTGACATCAATACATCTATTGCTATAAATAATACAGGTAAAAATAACGGTGTAACCGCAATATGTAGCGTGTAGAGACTTTCAATTTTCCCTCCCATACCCATTAAGTATGCAATTGCTTCTAAAACCACAGCACAATAAATGCACTTGGGGATATACAACTCTAAAGCATTGTGTTGAAGGCAGAATAAAGGTTAAAAAAAAAAACAACAGGTAAGAAAGACGACAATATAAAAACAAACATTTATGCAAGTTGTTCCATTCTTTTAATATAAATATGAGTGAGCCTTCAACGTGCTGACTGCTGCATGTGCCCTCATATTTGTTCTCACTATCATTGTAACTTTCCCTGAGTCCATTCCCTAAAGGATTCCCCTTTTGAATTACACACCCTGAAGGGGGTTGGTGCTTGCCCCTCAAACAGGTTGGCACTTTGATGTTTGTATTGTTACCCATAAAACTCCTTTTGACTCTTCGTTTGGTGGTGTCTGTTTTTTTTATATTTTTTAATTTAATATGTCAGTTCCAGTTTCAGAAATGATTAAACTGTGGTACCTATCCTACTTAATAGTGCCAATATATAAAAGCAGCATGAGAGAAAAAGTAAAGATGCAACCAATCTGCATGCAGCTGTCATATTGTTCAAGTTACATAGTTACATAGTATTTGAGGTTGAATAAAGACACATGTCCATAAACACACATGTCCATCAAGTATTGGCTAACGAATGCCAACATATAATTGGTTGCATACAATTGTTTGCAGGGTGATCAAGAAAAAGAGTAAATGTTCAAAAGTATAATAACCAATGTCAGTGATAAATAATGATCTATTGTGCCAAAAAAAAAACATTTGAGATAATGGTAAACAGAAATCTTACCTTATATCAAACTTGCGATGTCCTGGTTCTAGTAATAGGGGGCTTTCTAAATATTTTTGAATAACATGGACTTGACCTTGATTGTCTATGAAGTCTAGGAGATGTGTTGCATCAGAAGATATAAGAATTCCTTCCCCTGAAAGATACAAAATGTTAGATGCCAAATACCAAGAACTTCCCAATCAATACAACAAGGCTTGGACTGTCTTCTTGAAAGAGAAGTGAAGCTAGATCTTTTTAGACTTTACTTTTCTTTTGGGTCACAGGAGGACATTTACTAATGTTCTTCTGTGATCCAAAGTCAGAATATTGCAAGCTGCAGTCGGGAAGGATCCCAAACATATTGATTGACAGCTAGCTGTGTCCGCCCCCTCCCCTGTCTGTCACTCTAGGGAGCACTGGAGGGAAATAAAAGGGAGGGGGATCCCTGACTGACAGCTACTGCTACACAGGGAGAAGATTGACTGAGAGCTGACTGATCAGTGGTTACACAACCACTTAACTCTCGATCTATAGGGCCAGTGTGTTACAGCTGCAGTGTCACGCCGGCTCCAAGTAATATGAAAAGTGAAAAGTAGATTTTACTCACACAATACTTCTCCTTTAACAATATTAAAGGAAGATTAGCCAACAAGAAAAAAGTAACAGTAAAAGTATGAACAATTATGATTTGCTGCCATCTGAGCGTAACAAGGGAGGGG